CATAGCTGGACCACAGCCACACCACTGCAGCATCATCAGATGAAATCTCAGTGAACCTCTCACACTGTTCCACTGTCACCATGGCAAACTCACCCTCAGTCCTCTCCTGTGTCTTCTCAAAAGGAAAAATACATGTGATTATTAAAGTTATCCTTCCCTCAGTTGCACTGTTACCAGTGCTAACACACAGAACCGCAAGCATAGCTACGTTTTCACATCATCACTGTTGTTACCATCACAAGCAAATTTAAAGCTAACATGGCTGTACCTACTTGCTCTGTGCATCTCCCTGTTGTTCCATTTCTTGTAACATAAAGGATCCGGTCTAAAGCCACAAGGTTCTTTCTTCTACACTACATTGTTCCAATATGGTTTCAGCACACATGTGTTAAGCTACGTCCTAGATCTTTCAGGAAAAAAGAGGGGGCACTAAAAGTGAAGGGTGTTAAGGTGTAGGTCTGAATAAAAATGCTGTTGCTAAGAGGAATAAATGGTTTTATTCATCATGGCAACATACAGTGCTTTAGGAATATATACAGCGGAGAAACTGGGAGTTAGCCTATCACTTTGAGTCCTCTTCAGGTTTCTTGGCATAAAACTTTTCTCGCAGTTTTTTCCATGTCCCTTTTTTCATGTCTTCCATCTGTTTCAGAACGTCTGCAAAAGGAGGGGAGAGAGAGAGATGGGGAAAGAGGAAGAAAAGCAGAAAAGCCAAGAAATGAAAGCCTGCTTACAAAAGCTTTGCCTTACATGTGTTTTCCTTTTTTTTTGACTTTTCATCTTAATGAATTTCAGGGCCTGAGGCAAGTTTGTTTGCCCTTCCAATCCATTGTGCGAGAGTCCCTTATCACTAACAACTAATATTCAGTTTCCATGCACTGCAATCAAAGTTAGGAACTGGAGCAGAACAAAACTGCACCAGCTTCCTACACTGCACTTAATAAATGATCTGGCTGAGAGTATTTCTGCATTGTGGTACCCTGTTTTCTCTCAACATCTAATACAAAAGGAGAAATACCAAAGGGAATTTGAACATGGTGAAACAGAAGCCGAGAATTTTTGGAATGCTGTAGCAAACATGCATTTCCTTCACATAGCTCCTGCTACCTGATCTCAAAGAGCCCTTGCAAACCCTTTGCTGTTCCTGCTCAGTGCAAAATACAATCAACTTTTTGCCCTGATAGATTACTGAAGAGCTCAATTATTCCTGAACGTACTCCTCATTAAACATCCTAATACACTCGCACGGCAGCCCCATTCTGTCCTTTAGAATCACAGAATGTTTTGGGTTGGAAGGGACCCCTAGAGGTCATCTAGTCCAACCCCCCTGCAGGAGCAGGGACACCGCTAACTAGATCAGGTTGCTCACAGCCCCGTCCAACCTGGCCTTGAATGCTTCCAGGGATGGGGCCTCCACTACCTCTCTGGGCAACCTGTTCCAGTGTTTCACCACCCTCATTGTAAAGAACTTCTTCCTTATATCTAGTCTAAACCTACCCTGGTTTAGTTTAAAACCATTACCCCTTGTCCTAACACAGCTGGCCCTACTAAAAAGATTTTCCCCATCTTTCCTATAGGCCCCCTTTAGGTACTGAAAGGCCGCAATCAGGTCTCCCTACAGCCTTCTCTTCTCCAGGCTGAACAAGCCCAACTCCCTCAGCCTGTCCTCACAGGAGAGGTGCTCCAGCCCCCGGATCATTTTTGTGGCCCTTTAGTCACAGGTGTTTAGTAGCAGTGAACACCACAAAGACTAGAACGTACTTTGTCTCCTGCACTGACTTATTCTCAGATCAAGCACAGTATTAGTACCTGTTGCTAGTATCATCTTGCAATCTTCTACTGTCAGCCCAGTGAAGCTTGTGTCTTTCAGGCGAGGATACTTCACGAACGAGCAAGTAGGTGAGAGGAGAAGAGAAAAAGATGTTGTTGTGCATTAAAACAGGTAAAAATATCACCACACAGTAAAGCCTGAGCTCATTTTCAGTCAAGCTCTAAGAATTCTGCTCATCCATACCAAGAACTATCATCTGTATTGTTCATACACATCACAGAGGCTGAGATGTCTGCAGCTTTCCCGGAGTGACCAAAGGCACCAGGCAGTGCTGCATCCACCTGACCGCTCATTTGACTGTTAAGACATTCTCAGAAACCCAGCTGGGAGGAGGCAGCCAACTGCAGTGGGTGGTGACTCACCCCCTAAAAGAGGGATGATGGCTAATGCCAAAGCTCACCTTGTTTTTGTAGTAGTTGGTGTGGATTCTGACTAAGCTCTCGTACATTCGGTCACAGGTCTCAGGGTCAGCAATCTGGAAAGGGATAAAAGTATCAAACAAGTCTTATTCTAAACCTCCATAGCAAAAAACCACCTCGTTTTGAGTCTTGTGAGAAGGACAGTCAAGGAGCAGCTTAGGTGACTTCTCAGAGCAATGTAGGATGCTGGTGACCCCCATTACGCTGCTCCAGACTGCAGATCATTTTCTTTCCCTTCCACTTCTCCCCAGCTTGGCCTACAAGAATAACAAGGCACATGATTTCCAGAATTGCCCTTAAACTCTGCTCAAAGAGATTTGACAGAACTGTGAATACACAGTTAATGAGAATGTTGCTGGGCAGTTTTCTTCATACGTTTATTGGCCACCGCTGTGAAATCTGTGAGTCTTCTTGCTCCAAGGCCAGCTTTGCCGCCTCTTTCATTCTAAAGCATCAAATAAGATAACGTACTAGGACGGAAGTTAGAAAATCCCAGTACAGGCTAAAAATACTTTATAATTGCTTATGGAAAAGCAGCATGAAAGACACGGAACGGCTTGTGGAGGGTAAATGGATTCTATTTTGGTCGAGTAAGTTGGAAAGATTTTGCTAATACCTAAACCTCTGCTAGGTGCCTCAGACAGGTGCATCTGCCTCGCAGAGCCATCGATTTAGCAGCGTGGATGGCACGTCGTCTTGTTTTTGTATTTTACAATGGGAGCCAACTCGACCAGAACGCTGCATTGCTGCTCGATGACATCAAACATAAATGATTAAAATGGATACATGAGTAAGAATAGCATCAGGAGAAATATGTCAGGATAAAATGACACGGGTCAGCTGTCCTTGGGACGCTGGCATGGGTTCAGCACAAGGTGGGTAACGCCTCCTCTGCACAAACTAGGAGAACTAAGGAAAGGTTCTCCATATTCAGTAGATAACGGCTGCTGCAGGAGAGAGGATATAGGGACAGACAGACTGTCAAGAGTAAGCACCATCACACTGCAGGTGATCTTCAGCTTAACGTATCTTGCAGTCACATTTCAAATGACCCCGCTAATGTTTTAGTAATGATAGCAGAAATAGCTATTAAATGGGTAGCAGAAACAGCATCCATCCCCCCCTGTAAAATCAGCAAATCTTACTCCATGTGAATAAAACAGACATTAGACTGATAAAGTATCCTTTATGGTTCTAGTTCTTTTCTCATACGTTCCTCCTGCTGTCTGCCAGTACATTTCCCTTTGCCGTATTAAGCCTTTATACATACAAATTGACATCAGTGCTGCAGGCATCAATTTAGATTTTCAAGATGAGCAGCAGCTTTGGGATCTTGTAGCCAATTGGTGTAGCATATTCAGCTGTCCTGAGCATATGAAAAAGCAATAAGCGCTTTCCGAAATGCCTGCTGCAGACTATTCTGGTGACCAATATAGAATTAGGTGCGTGTAATGGCCCCTTGAAGTAGAAAATGCATATCTGGAACAATGTTTTTATGCTAAGAAAGGGCACATTTACATTCCACAGCACCACCTCCAAGCCTATAAAGGTCTACAGCCCAAGTCAAGCATTAGCTTCTCTAATTTATTTCAGCACCAAAGCCTAACCTCCAACACAATTACAACTGTAGCCAGAGTCTAATTTTATAACTGCTGCATCCTAACAGTGCCAGGCAATGTTGCATTTCACTACGTGCTCTACACTGCACCGCACTATCATCCTAGCATAGAACCACAGAATGGTTTGGGTTGGAAGGGACCTTAAAGATCATCTCGTTCCAACCCGCCTGCCGTGGGCAGGGACGCCTTCTACCAGACCAGGCTGCTCACAGCCCCATCCAGCCTGACCCTTAACACTTCCAGGGATGGGGCAGCCACAGCTTCCCTGGGCAACCTGTTGCAGTGCCTCAGCACCCTCAGTGAAGAATTTCTTCCTTATATCTGATCTCAGTCTCCCCTCTTTCAGTTTAAAGCCATTAACCCTTGTCCTATCAGTACATGCCCTTGTAAAACGTCCCTCTCCAGCTTTCCTGTAGGCCCCTCCAGGCACTGGGAGGCTGCTATAACGTGTCCCTGAAGCCTTCTCTTCTTAAGGCTGAACAACCCCAACTCTGTCAGCCTGTCCTCATAGGAGAGGCACTCCAGCCCTCAGATCATCTTCATGGCCTCCTCTGGACTCGCTCCAGCAGGTCCATGTCCTTTTTATGTCGGGGGCCCCAGAGCTGGATGCAGGGCTCCAGGGGGGTCTCACCAGAGCAGAGTAGAGGGGCAGAATCACCTCTCTTGACCTGATGGCCATGCTTCTTTTGATGCAGCCCAGGACATGGTTGGCTTTCTGGGCTGCAAGCACACACTGCCGGGTCACGTTGAGCGTCTCATCAACCAACACCCCCAAGTCCTTCTCCTCAGGGCTGCTCTCAATCCATTCTCTGCCCAGCCTGTATTTGTGCTTGGGATTGCCCTGAGCCATGTGCAGGACCTTGCACTTGGCCCCATTGAACTTCATGAAGTTTGCACAGGCCCATCTCTCAAGCCTGTCAAGGTCCCTCTGGATGGCTTCCCTTCTCTTCAGCGTGTCAACCACACCGCACAGCTTGGTGTCATCAGCAAACTTGGTGAGGGTGCACTCGATCCCACTGTCCCTGTTGCCAGCAAAGATGTTGAACAGCACCAGTCCCAATACTGACCCCTGAGGAATGCCACTCGTCACTGGTCTCCACCTGGACATTGAGCCGTTGACTGCAACTCTCTGAGCATGACCATCCAGCCAACTATTTATCCACCGAGTGGTCCATCTGTCAAATCCATGTCTCTCCAATTTAGACACAGATGTCATGTGGTACAGTGTCAAACGCTTTGCACAAGTCCAGGTAGATGAAGTCAGTTGCTCTTCCCTTATCCACCAACACTGTAGTCCCATTGTAGAAGGCCACCAAATTTTTCAGGCACCATTTGCCCTCAGTGAAGCCATGTTGGCTGCCACCAATCACCTCCTTATTTTCCATGTGCCTTAGTGTAGTTTCCAGGAGGATCTGCTCCATTATCTTGCTGGGCAGAAAGGTGAGACTGACTGGCCTGTAGTTCCTTGGGTCTTCCTTTCTTCCCTTTTTAAAAATGGGGTTACATTGCCCCTTTTCCAGTCAGTGAGAACATCATTAGGCTGCCACAACTTCTCAAATATGACGGATAGTGGCTTAGGAACTTCACCCACTAGTTCCCTCAGGACCCACGGATGCATCTCATCAGGTCCCATGGACTTGTGCACCTTCAGGTTCCTTAGATGGTCTTGAACCTGATTTTCTCCTACAGCGGGCAGTTCTTCATCCTCCCAGTCCCTGCCTTTGCCTTCTGCAGCTTGGGCAGTGTGGCTTGAGCACTTGCCAGTGAAGACTGAGGTAAAAAAGCATCTGAGTACCTCAGCCTTCTCCATGTTCCAGGTAACCAGGTCTCCCGTTTCCTTCTGGAGAGGACCCACATTTTCCCTAGTCACCCTTTTATCACCAGCATACCTATAGAAGCTTTTCTTGTTGTCCTTGACATCCCTGGCCAGAGTTATTCTATCAGGGCTTTAGCTTTCCTAACCTGATCCCTGGCAAAACATAGTAGGCAAAGCACTCTCATTAACTACATTCCAGCACAGTGCTGACAAATCCCCAGTGGTTTGTATCCCAATTCCACAACCATGGGCATGGGTTCTCCAAAGCACACAGCGCAAAGGCTGCGGGAATTGGGCAAAAGCCGCAGCTTGTCCGATGCAGACAGCAAGTGCCGTGGCCGGCTGGGGCTGG